CCCCCCCCTGCCTCCACCGCAGCCGGCATTGCAGTGCCAGCAGGAGGGCTGGTTGCAGGACAGGCTGGGAGCTGCGCTCTGGGCTTCTTCCCAGCTCTTCTGGAGTGTTGTTCCAAGCTGGTCTTGGAGTTCAAACTGCCTGGGACACTCCCGGGGGATGATACCAGCATCATTGCAGGGTACTTGCAGCTTTGTGGAGGCTGTAAGAACGTGGGCACACGAGTAGAAGGTGGTCACCATCCTGATGGCTGAAAGCAGCACGAGGGGGTTCTTTAAGGCACATGTGTGTGGGGTAATTAAGCAGCTCCCTCACCAAGGGGTGTCTCATTGGCATGGACTGGATCGTTTTTCCCCCGCTGGCTGGATCTCCAGCACGAGTCCCTGTCTCTAACGTGCCCATCTCCTCCTTTGCTCCCCAGGACTCCCAACCATCTCCTCTCGCCCTCCTCGCAGCGACATGTAGCAAAATCGGTCCCCCTGCAGCAGAAGCCGTCGTGACTCCTCCTGCCCCTCCTCAGCCAGCGCCGCGCAAGCTCGTCCCCATCAAACCTGCTCCGCTCCCCCTGGGCTCCGGTAAGAACAGCTTTGGGATCCTGTCGTCGAAAGGGAACGTCTTCCAGATCCAGGGCTCTCAGGTCAGCACCTCCTACCCTGGGGGGCAGCTGGTTTTTGCCATCCAGAACCCAACTGTCATCAACAAGGGGACCCGCTCGTCCACCACCAACATCCAGTACCAGGCAGTGCCCCAGATCCAGGCCACGGGGGGACAGACCATCCAGGTCCAGCCCAACCAGATCCAGATTATTCCAGGCACGAATCAAGCCATCCTCACGCCTTCCTCTTCCTCTCACAAGCCCGTGCCCATCAAACCAGCTCCGGTGCAGAAGCGGGGAGCTTCCCCAGTGCAGGGCACCAGCAGCGTGGTCAAGTTGAGTGGTGGCAGCAACGTGACTCTGACCCTGCCCGTGAACAACCTGGTGAACGCTGCTGAGCCGGGCGCCCAGGCTCAGCTCCTGGCAGAGAGCTCCTCAAAACCCACCAAAAAGCCCCGGAAGAAAGCCATGTCACCCACCCAGCCCACCACGGTGGCCGTGGCCGAGCAGGTGGAGACGGTGTTGATAGAGACCACGGCGGAGAACATCATCCAGGCGGGCAACAACCTGCTGATCGTGCAGAGCCAGGGCTCCGGCCAGCCGGCCGTGGTGCAGCAGGTACAAGTGGTGCAGCCCAAGCAGGAGCCACAGGTGGTGCAGATCCCGCAGCAGGCCCTGCGTGTGGTCCAGGCCGCCTCTGCCACGCTCCCCACCGTCCCCCAAAAACCCTCCCAGAACTTCCAGATCCAGACGACGGAACCTACTCCTACCCAGGTACCACCTCCCGACTCCTCCTCCTCAAGGTCTCTGCACTCTTTCTCCTCACCCAGGCTTTTTAGAAAGCTTAAAAGGTTTTTGTGAGCCACCAGATTCCCAACTTGGCGTCCACCTTAGGCAGTGCTTGTGTGGATTCTCTACTGTCTTTAGAAGGGTTGGGAGCACAGTGCTTCTCTCCCCAGGGCTTTCTTGAGTATCTCTTGCTGGCCATCTGCTTTTGTCATAGAATCATAGAATGGTTTGGGTTGGAAAGGACCTTAAGATCACCCCAGGGCTGAAGTGTGGGCAGGGACAACTCACACTAGAGCATGTTTCCCAAGGGTCCAACCTGGCCTTGAACACTGCCAGGGACGGGGCATTCCCCACCTCTCTGGGCACCCTGTGCCAGCGCCTCAGCACCCTCATAGTAAAGGACTTCTTCATTATATCTAACCTGAGCTTCCCCTGTTCCAGTTTGAACCCATCACCCCTTGTCCTATCACTCCAGTCCCTGATGAAGGTCCCTCTCCAGCATCCTTGTAGCCCCCTTCAGACACTGGAAAGACCTGTAGGAGCACAGTGTCCTTGGAAGCTCTGCTGTGCCACCAGCTGGGGTTGGGATGAGGCAGCCTGCTCAGGAGCTCTTGGGAGATGGGGGC